GTAGGAGTCAGGGGAAGGGCAGAGCACACCCAGCTCCCACCTCCCCACACCCTGGGCGCTGGGAGATGTTTGGGGCTGACTCTGCTGCTTCTCCCAGGTTCGATCTGATGGGGTTGACTCCGGATGCGCCTGAGGATGAAGTTGGGATCAAGAAAGCCGCAGAAAACAGTAAGAAGCTTTGGGGAGAGGGAAGCGCTGAGCTCCTGGGCCCCTCTCCCTCGCTGGGACAGGAGCAGATGTCTTCTTTCCACCTCTCCTTCCTTTCTGCTCTCCTGTGATCCCAGCCCACCTTCTCCCTGGCTGAAGCCAAGTGCGTTCGGTCCCTGGGCCCTCTGGCACCTGCCTCTCCCTGACGTCCCCTGTCCTCCCAGGCCTCAGGTGCTGCTCTTCAGCCCCCCACCCTTTTCACTGACCCGTTTCTCTGGCTTCTTCTAGTTAAAGCAATTATCGAGCATGAGATGAAGAACGGGATCCCACCCAACCGCATCATCCTGGGGGGCTTCTCACAGGTGAGTGGAGCTGCAGCGTGCTGAGGCAGAGGAGGCTGAGGGTTGGGTTCCCTCTTCCCCCTCTGAAGACACCCCTCAAAGCGAGCTTCCATGGCAGGGAGGCTGGTGGGTGCTCTGGGGCTGCGGATCCCCCCACGGCACTAACAAACCCTCCTCATCTGCTGCAGGGCGGTGCCTTGTCGCTGTACACGGCTCTCCCCTGCCAGCACCAGCTGGCCGGCATCGTGGCGCTCAGCTGCTGGCTCCCGCTGCACAAGGCCTTCCCGCAGGTACGCTGCCCCGTGTGTCCGCAGGGAGGGTCGGGGCGGGGAGGATTTTCCCATCTGGAGTTTGCTGCAGTGTGAGCCTGGGGGTGCTGGGGGCACGAGGTGCCTGTGGTGGGGGCTTAATCCCATGCCCCTGCTCCTGGGGCCTGGGGGAGGTGAGGGCACCGGAGAAATCGGGGCTCTGCCTCCGATCTGGTGTGAGTGTCTGCGAGCCGGTCTGCTCCCCCAGCCTCCTGGTGCCCACCGGGCAGCAGCTCGGTCCCGGCGGGAGCGGGGGAGGC